CCCCAAAACCCCAAAACCCCAAAACCCCATAGCTAGATATTGATTAACTTAAAACTGAAGGGCGAGGTAAATTTACTGAAAAATAAAAATAATTCTTCAAAGTCGTGGATGAAAAAAAGATTTATTAACAAAGCTCGTTTTTTATCCGTGAAGTTTGGCATTAAGACCGGTAATATTTGATGATTGATTCTCTTTTTTGTCTTTGGGTTCGTTTCATATGATCTAAGATCCCTTGATTCTATCATGTAGTTATTAGTCATAAAGATCCCAATCAGTAATTTGAACTCTAGCAACTCCTGATTCCATTGCAGCCTTAGCCACGGCCTTTGATACTACATATATAAGTCTTGGATCAAATGGAGTTGGAATAATGTATTCTCTGCCAAACTCCATGGTATCTCTTCCATAAGCTTGTAGCACTTCCTTGGGAACTGGCTCTCTTGCAAGTGCGGCAATAGCCTTAGCAGCTGCCATCTTCATATGCTCATTAATTTAAGAAGATCTTGTATCTAAGGCACCTCTAAAAATGAATGGGAAGCAAAGGACATTATTGATTTAGTTGGGATAGTCTGATCTTCCTGTAGCAATAATTGCATCATCTCTAGCTTCTCTAGCATCCTCTGGAGTAATTTCTGGATCTGGGTTTGCCATTGCAAAGATGATAGGATCCCTAGCCATTGTCTTAACCATCTCCTTTGTTAAAGCTCCTTTAGCTGACACTCCAATGAAGACATCAGCATCTCTGACTGCATCTGCCAAAGTTCTTCTGTCTGTGTCTACAGCCAATCCTTCCTTTTATGGATTCATACCCTCAGTTCTTCCCTGATAAATAACACCCCTAGTATCGACCATTAAGCAATTTTCCTTTCTTGCACCATAGGTTTGAATTAGATTAACACAAGCTATGCCAGCAGCTCCAGCACCATTACAAACGATTCTTAGGTCCTCAAACTTCTTGCCAGATGATTCGCAAGCATTTATGAGTCCAGCTAGACAAATGATTGCGGTACCATGTTGGTCATCATGGAACACTGGGATGTTCATGAGCTTCTTGAGTCTTTCTTCAACTTCAAAACAATCTGGACCCTTAATATCTTCAAGATTAATACCTCCGAATGATGGTCCCAAAAACTTCACACAGTTAACAAACTCATCTATGGTGTACGCATCAACACAGAGATCAATGGAGTTAATTCCAGCAAATTTACCGAAAAGGACTGATTTTCCTTCCATAACTGGCTTGCCTGCTAGAGCGCCCAAGTTACCTAGACCTAACACAGCGGTTCCGTTTGAGATAACAGCTACCATATTTCCTTTGTTAGTGTAATCGAATGCTTTCTCAGGATTAGCGTGGATCTCAAGGCATGGTACTGCGACTCCTGGGGAATATGCTAGTGAAAGATCTCTTTGATTGTTCATAGGCTTAGTTGGTACAATTTTGAATTTGCCTGGAGTTGGGTCAGAATGATATTGGTTAGCTTCCTCTTGAGTTACTTTCTTTGATGCTTGCATGAGTATCTTCTGCAATTTCTAAGATGATGTTAGATTTTATTTAAGTATATATTATCAAAGCTATGAGTAATAAAGTCTAGGTCCAATTCTGAGAGAATATAATGATTTTAAATGGTAATAATTAATCTTTTACTTTACCTTCATATATTTAATAGTTCTAATCATTAACTTAGCAAATCTTAAAGACATGGGGTTTTGGGGTTTTGGGGTTTTGGGG